GCCAGCCTGAATCCACGAAGTTATGTAAGAAGCACATTTGTCAGCAGGAAGACGAAAGATTTCTACCCAAGGGCCATCACGAAGAAAATCACGGAAAGAGTCCCAGTCAGCTTTAAGGTAGTTATATGTGGTTCGATGATAGGGGGATTCTGATGAAGTAGAAGAATTTGATACAAGTTTTAGAGAGATCAAACCGTGATCAGAAGTACCTAAGGGTGAATGTGGAGAAATTGAGCACTGACTAGGATCCAAAACAAGACATAAGTCGAGTAGAGAAGGTAAATGATTAGGGTTGTCTGGAAAACGAGTTGGAAAGTTGACTATTTGAGTTAGAGATTGAGAAAGGCAATAGTTGAGGGCCTTAACGCCAGCAGAGTCACTGACACTAGAGCCAAACCAATCGGTGTGATGGGCATTAAAGTCACCAACAACGACGATATTGGCCGATGGATAAAGAGAGAGGGCTTGGTCAATTTGATCAGAAATAACATTAAGAATAGTGCAATCTTGGGATAAAGGAGAGCGAAATAGAACAAAGAGAAAGGCGATAGAGTGAAGTTGTGCTAAACGAAAGCACATAAATGAATAGTCTGTAGATTCAAACCTAGTTTCACGACAAATGGGTGAGTTCTTACAAATGTAGATGCCCAGGCCAAGCATGTGATTATTGGAGTCTTTACGAATTAAAGGAAGATAACCATCAACACTAAGATCACAAGATGGGACAGCCGAACTCAAATTAGTCTCACAAAGAGCAAGTAGGTCTGGTGAACTTTGCAAGAGGTAAGACTCAACAGAAGAAAAGTTACTTCGAAGACCACGAATATTAGTAAATGATAGGTTTAGAGAACTTGGTGATGACGATGGTTTTTTGTGTTTTTTAGTTTTAGGTACTTTTGTCATTTTAAATTTATAAAGAACTTGACTCAAGTATAGATAGTACTCAGTACACTATTTAACAACTAAGCAATAGCCTCATTACTATTAATAAACCCTAAGCCGTAACAAAGGGCTCCAAATGTGGCCTTGGCAATGCACACCAAAAGTACAAACAGGGACACCATCCATGCGCAACATGGCACTGTTAGTACTCTGATATTTTTCGGCTGTTCATGGAATCAGCCTCTCTGAGAGCTACCACAGAGTTCGGGAAACCTGACTACCAGCCGGCCTCAGAACCATAAAACTGAGTTTTAGAGCTGTACCCTCATTAGGAGATAATAGAATGAGTTGCCCAGTCATAAAAATAGAGACACAAGCAATACCCACGCATTGAGTCAAGAAGATCCAGCGTTCAACATCCTAAACTGGAAACAATGTATTAAAAATACATCTGCGCCAGCCTAATAGATGAGGAAGGGGTGCGAGGCTGGTCAACAGATAGAATCTGTTTACCCCTTAAGTCTGCCTAGGAGGCCTTCCACAAGACAGCAGCTGGATGCATGTAACATCTGCCCAAGATGAGTATTTTTATCGAGACACCATCTCTAGCCTTTACTCAACCAAGAGCCCCAAGGCAGAGGGGGTGTTTTAATTCGGAGGTAACTTCTCCTAGCCTTTGCCTAAAAAAGCGTATCCTACAAGGCAGCAGGACATGGAGCAGGTTGTACTGGGTTACATGTTACCAGTAGCAGGAAAACCTGACCTGACCTTAAATTCTTACCAAAACTGACTTACCAAAACTGACTTACCAAAAATTTCAAATGTTATAATCTAAAAGTTTTAAAATTTTTAAAAATGTTTTTATAACCAAATGTAAACAACATTTTTTTTGTGAATATATATTTGATTTAATGTTAAAGACTTCACAACTTTATGGTTCGTTGCAAAATCACTTCACTGATTCAAAATAGCCAGCCTATAAGAAACAACTACGTAGTTATTATTACAATATTTATAATCAATTAACGATGAAATGTAATTCCAAAAAAAAAAGGTCATAAAAGTAATTGCAGTTTATGGTAATAAAATGCTAAAAAGAAAAAATTTACTTTGACACAATATTTGGTTCTTAGAAGGTCGTATATTTATTTGGAAGCCAAAAGTAAAGTTGATTTTTATCACAATTAAACTAAAAATCGAATATAAGCAGAATAAATTTATAAAACTAATTTTTCTTAGCTCTTAGTGAATGATTAAAAGTAATTAGTCTCAGCAATTAAACTATCTAATAATCATTTTTAACAACAAACACCAAGTCAAAAAAGTATTTAAAAAAGTGCTTTTCTATTAACATGAAGCACATACTTATTAATATTTAATACTGTCATGTTATGTAATTTTCATGAAACAACTGTTTTTTTCAAAGTTTTTTTCAAAATTATATCTATATATATATATAGATAGATATATATAAATATACAAATTATATATAGTTATATGTAAATAAAATATATATAGATATATAAATTATATCTATATCTATATATATATAGGTAGATATATATATATATATATAGATTATACACTTAACTGGCTAAGAAAAGAAATAAACATAAAAGATGAGTTTAGGTTCAAATACTTAATTTTGTACAGTAAGTAGTAAAACTAAAATATTAAAAAAAAAATAAGAAAAAAAAATAATAGTAGATTAAAAAAATCTATAACTAAATAATAAAGAATGAAAACTATTTTGTAAATAAAAAAAAAAGCCATGCCAACTTTTGCAAACAAAAATTTATGAACGTGTTACATCAAATCAACTACATGTTGCCGATACTTTCAATAATTTAAATTTTTATTTTATAAAATATAAATAATTTTAAATCTTAATGGAATATTGACATTGGAATATAGACATTGTATAGTGTATGACATAGTGTGTGTGTGTGTGTATATATATATATATATATATATATATATATATATATATATATATATATATATATATATATATATACATAATTATAGAACAGTAAACTGTCTAGTATAATTGATAGGATTGTCTAGAAAGAGTCTAGAAATTGTCTAGAAAGAAACTGTCTAGTATAATTGATAGAATAGATATAATCGGTAAAATTGATAGAAAATTTAATCACAATATAAAAAAATGTCAACTATAAGCATAAAAATATGTGTAACATTGATTAAAAAGAAAGTTTGTAGCAAAACTAATTGCAACCTTTTAAAGCATAACAGTTCTTTTAAAAACTTAGATTATAAAACAGTTAAACATTTTAAAATTCAAAAAAAGAAAAAATACTCGTAAAAGAAAAACACAGGAAAAGGTACCAAGTCGTAGTTTTTAGATTCGGAGGTATGTGGTAGTATATTCCATCCGACGAAATATTCCATCCTTTTGCGCAAAACTCAAAACGAGGATGTGTATTTAAATTATAGTTGTTAGAAATGTTCCTTCTGAGTCCGAAATGAAACGAAACACATATTTAGCTTAACACTATTTATAAAAGTAAATAAATTATTTTAAGGTCACATATATAGTATTACCAGAAATACGATTAATATATGTAGCAATTTATTTTTATTATTAAAGAAGTGATATGGTAATGTGGTGGATGTAATATTCAAAGCTCAAATACTGAAAAAAAAAGTTATGTTCTAAATATCTTACAATAATGTCTTTGTAGATATTATTACTTTGTATCTGTGGCAAAGATACATAATAATAATATCTACAAAGACATTGAAATTTGCAAAGACTTTGCAGATTGCGATATCAAAACATATGCTAGTTCTTAAAAACTAGCAAATACTTTGATCTATTTTCTTACTAAGTCTTAAAATCAACTTTGAACTATCATCTTAGTAAGATAATAGTTTAAAGTATTTGATAGTTATTAAGAACTAGCATATGTTTTGATATCGCAATCTGCAAAATTTTGATAATGTCTTTGTAGATATTATTATTGTGTATCTTTGATAAAAATAATTGATTTAGGAAGCATTCAGTAATCAAATATCTTGGCCATCCAATCTATGCGAAATAATAAGTGTATATTGATATATTGATGTATATAAGCTATAGCATAGGTTATGCACTTAGACCACAGATTATGTACTATGCCATAGATTATGTACATCAATCAATATAATGATATATAAATGTTATTTATGTAATAATGTATACTTATTAGTTGAATACTAGTTATGAAACTTTGTTGAATATTAAATAATAATATATGCAATATATTATGCCTATATAGTCTATATAGATTATGTATTAAAACTACACAGACTAAAACCACACACATACTGTGTAAGGTTTTATATTTTTATGTTACAAAAATAGGTTAAGGTATATCAATTTGCATATATTTTGATTTAATATTCAACAAAGTTTCATCAATACAGGAAATTATAGAAATTATATAATATTTTTATAAAGTGATCTATGTGTGATCAAAGATCTACAAAAGAATACAACGAGTTGTATTCTATTGTAGAAGATTAAAAAAACTTTTTTTTCAAACATGTTGTTTGTTATTTATTAATTTTTTTAAATCAACAAAATATATTATATATAATATTAACATATATAAATATTACAAAAATAATTTATTTAATTTCTTTTTTTAGAAGTCTGCACGTAAATAAACGTAAACTTTTTTTCTGAACAAGTGAAATACACGTGATGTGGAACCATCTACTTGGTGTACAATTATCACATTTTATCTATAAAAAAAAGTAATTACATTATTATTTTTTGGCATAAGCTATAATTATTTCTATAAATTTGTAACCCAAATTATCTTAAAGACAAGCGCTAAATAAAAAATGTATTACGAGGAGCATCCAAATGCATTAAAGACTTGTCTTTAACGTATTGTAAATGTATTATGAGGAGCATCCAAATGAATTAAAGGCTATAATGGCGCTAAACATGGAGATTAACTATATAATAGTTTGTGGGGATATAACAAATGACCTAACAATACAAATGGGCAAAAACAATAGTTATTATAAAAGTCTATATAAAATTAATAATTATCTAAAATAAAATATTTATATAAAATATATTAGATAAAATATTTAATATTCGTGGTCATTTATTACTTCCTAATGACATTGTAATCATATCATCATCTTTAAATAAACTTAACATATATTATGGCTTTCACATTTATTTTAAAACTTTTATAAGTAATTTTTGTAATTTTGTTTAAGAAAATGATACTATGGAAAATTATTCCACGCAGTTGTGTAACCTTTGACGTACAGTAAAATAGAATTTATCAAAATACCCATTTATCCATTTTTAAATTGTTTTTTTTTTGGTCCTTTTGATTTTCCGCAAATGCAACATAGTATGTCTTTCCAATTTTTTAAACCTGAAAATATTTTAATTAAAATTTTCAGAACATTTCTCAGTGGTTTGATTACACATTTATTTTTCAGTTATAGTTTATTGACAAACCTCCTCTATCTATAAGAAACTCTACAACTTTCTTTCAGTACAGATCTATTTCTTTATTTGGAAAAAACTGTAACAATTCTTCGTTATTTACAATGTTTTCAGCAAACTACAACAAAATTTACACTTGTGAACAATTATTCATTACTAATACTTTTGAGATAATTTCATTATCATTACCTTAAGACAAAAAACTCCACATGATATACTGTCACTTTGTTTTGCGTGGGGCAGTGTTAAAATTTGAAAATTTTCAGAAACTCCATACCGCTGTTTCAAGTAGGTACTAAATTTGTATTGAAAACAAAGAAGAACAATGAATAAAAGTTTTTATTATAAATTATGCAATGAAAAATATTTTTTGTTAAATGCACTCATACTTCCATTTTAGTTCTTGTTTTTTTACAGAAGCAACTTGTTCGCCAAGTGGATTTATGTGATAAATGTTCTTTTCCTTTGGTTTGATTATCTGAAGCACAATAGAAACAAAAAAAAATCTGTTTAAATGTGTATTTTTGTATTATTGGTGTATTTTTAAATAATATTTAATTTTTTTGTATAAATATGTATTTTTGTATTACTTAGGCGTATTATTAGGCGTATTATATTACTGTTAGCGTCCAATGATCATTTGAAACCATGCAACAAATAATTGTATCTATTTGGAACAACTCATCCTACATAATAATAAAAACTTGATTTGTATATATTACTTTTTTTTTTTTTTTTAAAAAAAACAAGATTAACAAGAATTTTAAAACAAGATTAACGGTTTTATTACATTTCTTTATTCAATAATTTATCTTTAGACAAAAAAGAATTTCTTAATACCAAAGGTCGCCTTTTTATCACATCTGTGTCAATGGGCATTTCCTCCAACGGTAGAATCCCAGCTGGTGCCAACACTTCAACTTTATTCTACAACGCGGAAAATAGAAAATAAACTGTTGTTAATCGTTTTATATTTCAAAAGCATTTTTATTAGTAATTCATTATATATTCTTGAGTTAAATCATACCTTTACTTGATTGTTTGCAAGCAACCGCAAATAAACGTAAACGGTTTCGTCGCTAAGGCGGTCAGTTAGAGTATCTTGCAGCGAGTAATCATACAATTTACAATCACCCAACTCAGGATATATTCCCATGATTGCATTAATTGGTCTTACAAGTTGGAGACATTCAATCATTCCGTTACCTATAAATTCATTCTCACTTTCATATATAGTATTTATAATATAGAATGGACAAGCTTTAATATTTAGAGTTTAAAATAACTTTCATTTAAATTTGTTTAAAATCTCAATACTTAAACTAAATTCGCATTCCGGCAATAATAACTTACCTTCACAATTTACAATTACGCAACTTTGAATTGAACCAAGCCCTATTGAAGTGTCAATATTCTCCGAAGTGTCAATCATCACTATAATTTTAATATATACTAATACTATAAAATACTAATACTTACATGCAGTTTATTACATTTGAAAAAAATTGCTTAAACTTACTCTCAGTTTTATTCGCGCATTGATATGATTTTCTCCTGGGTTCGATTAAATTGATTACATGATTATCTGCAATGACAGCAGCAGTTAATAAACTAAAAATAAACAATAAAATAGTTAACTTAATTTAGCATTATCATACAACTTACTAATAGTGTTTTTTTGGCGTATGTTTGTTTTTTTATCTTCCGGCCTATTTGTTTCCGCAATATCTACATTTATATTACTGGTATGAGAACAAGGTGTGTCTGGAAAAATAAAAAGAGCGTCAATATAATTAGTTCGTATTGTGATAGGGACATTAGTTATAAGATTCCCGATGGGAAGTGAGCTAGCGACTAGATAGCTTTAAAGCACTTTTTTCCTTATTTCATTTTTTATTAATGTCTTTAACATCTTTAAAAATTAAATTTTTAGTATCGGATATATTATAATTATAAGATTTAAATTTGAAATATTAAATATTAAGATTTTGGAGCTACATACTTACTACTAGGTACATGTCGTAGCTTTGTAGCTAGCTACAAAATATCCACAATTCTATAGCTGGTTGATAGCTACATATCAAATTTTTTCAGACAGCGATTTTATTACGATATGACGCTAGCTACATTAGCCAGTGGGTCTTTAGCTCATTAAGCTAGCTGTCCTCCTCGTCAAATCGCTGTTTTCATCTTTACGAATACCGATAGGTATTCGTAAATGCTAGCAGATTTCCTACTGGGTATTTGCTAAAAGTAAAACTTTGTAACAAAAGTGAAATGTTACCGTTTACCAAAACGTCTTCAAGAAATCTTTAAATATGTATTCTTTTGTGCGATCCAGGCAACAAAGAACCATTTAAATGTGTTAATTTAAAGTTTCCACCTTTTGTAACACACGATACACTATAAGGGCCTTTGAAACGTAGTTTAAATGCTGCGCGTTTTGATCTTCTCCCTCTTATGTCTAATAGCAAAATCTTATCTCCTACATCAATGGACTCTTGTACTCCTTTAGTTTTTGTCACCAATCTCCTTTCGTATTCCAATTATTGTTTTTCTTGAGCCAATTTGATATTCTAAAATTTTAATAGCAAAATCCGACTGCTTTTTAAATAACTGCTATTATTACTCAGGTTTAGTAATAATAGTTTTAAATAACGTCACTTAATAAAATATTTTATAACCTTATTTACAAATTCTGTTAAGCTTTGCATGGAGCGTCTTTTTTGTTCCACCTCGCTATTTATTTCCAAATTCGTAGTTTCACAAAGGTTCTCCTGCTAAATAATATTTAGGATAAATTAGTAACGGTAAGTACAGTTACAGTTTTAGTTATATAGTTAGCAAAAACCGGCGCAAGTAGCCTTGCTATACTTGACGCCGCTGATTATATATATATATAAACTTACTAGTTTGAACTTGCTACTACATACAGGCAAACGACCCCCAAACATTATCTCAAAAGGAGAAACTTTAGTTGAGGTTTGTCTTTCCACGCGCAACGGATACAATACAACAGCTAGAAATTCGTCCCATTCACATTGCTTTTCCTCGACCAGTTTTCTTAATTTGCTGAAAAAAAAACTTTACACTTTTAAAAGTATGGGGGTGACAGGTTTGAAGCTAAAGTGTGTATTTGGGTGCATATAAATAAATAAAAGGTACCTTTTTATGTTTTTGTTCGTATTTTCATCTTGCCCGTTCGATTGCGGATGGTATACAGCAGTTTTCCTTTGTTCAATGCTCAACAACTTATACATTGCGTAGTTTAACTAAAAATAATAATAGTAATAATTGTCGAAACTTATAATTCATTATCACTGTTATGTCAAGTCTTTACTTCTCTCTCTGGTTAAAAAATAATTACCTCATTGCAAAATTCAGTTCCATTGTCCGTTATTATAGCGGAAGGGAAACCAAAAGTTGTCACCAATTTTATTATTGCTTTTGCCACTGTTATGGCTTCTTTATTAGGCAAAGCATATGCCACCGGCCACATTGAAAATAAGTCCGTTCAGCTAAGAAAATATTTATTCCCCATTTTGGTTTCAGTAAAGGGCCCAGCAAAATCAATTCCAACAACTTCCCATACTCGTGATGTCTAAAAAAGATGTTCAAAACTAATGAAATATAATTTTACATATTTTTTATACAGGTATTTTCATAAGACCTTGTTAAATCTAAAAATTACGAAATTTTATTATTAAAATCCAGGTTTGAATTTTCCAAAAAACTGTTATTGTGTTCAAGGATTAGTGATAGTATCATCAGTATTTATTCTACAGCAACATACCAATACAATAACGACTTTTTGATATCTCAAAAAACTAATTTAATATTTTTACCTTTATGGAACGTAATGGTTCTACCGATGACAGAAGCGTTCCAGATTGTTGGCATCGCTTGCATTGTTTTACCTTGAAATGTAATAAACTGCGTTCATTAACTTATACTGATAATTATTAAACAATGCACTCTAACAAAATTTAAAATAAATAGGTTTAAATAAAAATTACATGCCCATTTTCTAATATCTCCGCTCATATTCGGCCAATAATATTTTTCTGCAATTTTTACCCTTGTCTTCGTTTCACCGCTATGTCCTCCCAAGGGACTATCGTGTTCCTCCGTAAATATTTTTAACCTCTCATCTTCATTGACTATCACATCTGCAAGAACTTTGTTACTACATACAGTTACGTTGCGTTTTAGTTTTCCCTTTTAAAACACAAAACAAATTATTTATAAAAATATACATACACACGCACACACACACACTTAAATATATACCTTTCACAGTGTAACTTCGTGACAGTTCCCTAAGGTTGCGTTTTTTATGATTTGTAAATGAGTCAGGATAGATCATTTCCGTAAACCGGATAAAAATGTTATTAAAATAAGTTTCATCTTTTGTCATTTTAATTCCGTATAACCTTTAATCGTTATTACTCGTATAATCGTTTTACTCATTCCAAACCATTATTTATGGAGATGAAAATACTTAATATTTACGAGCTCAATGTTTACAACATTTTATGCTTTATTTACATGTGGAAAAACGATTTAACTTTACCTGTCTTTAAAAACCTTTTTTCTCTAAACCCAATTAATAAATATTTACTTAAAAATAAAAATTTTGTACATGAACCTATTTGCAGAACAAAATTTAACAAATTTTGCATTACATTTCGAGCACCCTATCTTTGGAATTAAATTGTTTTCCTAATTTTGATATATCCAATACATTTCCGATCTTTAAAAGTAAACTTAAAAATTTTGTTTTACCTATTGATGATATATTTAAGTACTTTTTTGAACAATCACGTATTTGTCTTTTTAATTGTAAGACTGTTGTATTTTCTCTTGCCTTTTAAAAAAAGAGATGTATTACTGTATTTACTATGTATATATATATATATATGTATTTATATATTTACGTTTTTATAAGATCTGATGATATGATCAGACTTTTTATTATATATAACATTAGTGGTTTGATTTATATTTCCAATTTATATCACGATTTATTGTAATTTTTTAGTTTAGTTTATGTATAGATTTTAAAAAAATTGTAAAAGGTTCTGATGATAAGATCATTACGATCTTCTTTCAGAAGCCTTGTCTGTTTATCTTTGTAAACAATGACAAAAATGAAACAAAACAAACAAACAAAAAAATAGTAGCAACGTACCTTTAATCTTCTTTAAAGAGAGATTACTAAGGTTTATCGGTCAAATGTTGAAACCAAATTTTGTTCTATTTGCGGTAATCCCACACAATAATTAATGTTTTAAAAACTTTTAATTTGTTTTAAATTATAAGGTTTTTATTCTGCATAGAAATGCTGCTTCAGTTTCTCTAAAGTCACACTTGGAAGCTTTCAAAGTGTATGAGGACCTTCCCTAATTTTATTATTTTTTTCAAAATATTTTTACTTGTTTATTATTATCCCCTCCATAACAAGACACTTGGGAGTAAATAATACTAAGTATATGGTATAGACTCCAACTTTAACTCTGTAGTCCTAAATTTATAACTTTATTAGACACTGGCAATTAGCTTATTTTTATAACTTGTCCCACAGTAGCTTATAATTCTAATTACTTAAAACTTTTTGCCGAAACCAAAGATTGGGCAAAAAATTGACCTGGTTTCGGCCGAACCGAAGCTTCGGTACATCCCTAATAAAATAGCTCATGATATTCAACACATAAAACTTTAAAATATGACTTAAAATTTTAATAATTAAGTTTGGAATTTGAAAATAAATATATTATTATAGATGATCAATTATATTAGTTAATCAGATACAAATGGATGAACTACATTGTAAATTCTACAAGCATCCGCTTTAGAACACATTTAGCTACAATGCTTTATAGTTAAAAAACTTTTTGTCAAAACGCACAAAGCATTGCTGTGCGTTTATACTTAGTCGTGCTGAGTAACTAATGCGTATGCACAACTTATGCATATTAAGATAAATAATATATTTTCTTATTTGCATTAAAAAAAGACAGAGGTCTAAAGAATAGGAGGGGGCTGTTACCATCATTGCTCCCCCCCCCTTCCTTTTAAACCCGCCACCGATTCATGATCAACTTTAACTAAAGAACATATCAATTGAAATTTAACCCATTACACAGTGAATCGACTCATACAATCTAGCCGGACAAAAGTCAATTCAAGGAATCAATTAATAGATATTCCCATGATATTACTGAATACTCCCTAGGGAAAAATTCAAAATATTAATAGTGCACGCGATTTTAAGTGTTAAATTATTAGCGCTCTAGTGTTACTTAAAGATAAACATATTTTTTTTAAAGAAAATAGCTGCAATTTTGCTGTGTAACAATAACATATAACTAATTTATTGTGAACAATAATTAACTTTGCTGTCATTTAGAAGGTATGAACTTTGTATTTTATTGAAAACTTATTTAAAATTATTGGCAAAAATGATAATTCTATAGATTTAAAAAAGCAATATAAAAATTGCAATTTCTTTTTCGTTTTTTAATTTTTAAAGCGTGTAACTAATTTTATCCAAATATATCCAAGCTTATTTTACCACAACAATAAGTTGTCTAAATATAAAAGAATTGGCTGCCCTTATTTGTCCATTTCATTTTTATTTAACTTTTTTCAGACCGAGTGTATTCTATTAAAAAACTGGAGTTTATTTTAAGTATGGAAAAAACATACAACGGAAGAACGAAATTCTCTTTTGTTTGATTTTATTTTGAAAGACTATATTACAGAAGATGTTACTAGTAATTGATGATGTTAGTAGTCGAAAAAAAAATACACTTAAAAGTTGCAAGCATATCCGCAAAATTTGCGCATAAGTGGAATGCACCCAATAGAAATATTGATATATTTTTTAAGAAAAATAAAAGTTGGTTAGAGGCAATAATTTAGAATTTAAAATAAGTTTGCATCGGTCCTGTGCTTCCATAACATCTAAAGGAAATCGGCCTCAAGGTCGGCCAAAGAAAAGCTTTGAAGACTTATCTTAAAAAAGTAAAAGACGTAGAGTTGAAGACTTATTGCAATCGCGGAGTGCCAATGAATTAGCAACGGCTGCTGAAATAGCACATCGTTTGTCGGGTCAAAGAAACGTAGCTACTTCTACAAGAAAAAGTACAAATGCCTTAGAGCAAAGAAAATCTACTGATGTTATTTGTGGTACCAGGCAGTAAAGTAACGATGAGGCACTTGCCTATTATGTAGATTCAGAGTGTTCTATTCACTCTTATAAACAAACAAGAAAGTGGTCGTTAAAGCAGAGCATGAAGTATTTCCGTCTCACTATAATTTATATAAATCCAAAAGGTTGTGTTACCCTCCTGAAGAATTTTTTTCTATGAACACTTAATTGAAACACGTCGATTTTCTGAAAATGCATCCTCTAATTTGTCGCTTACATTAATAAGCAAATGGGGATGTGACGGAAGTTCTGGCCACAGTACCTATAAACAAAGATTTGAGAACTCTGATGATAATTATGATTTTCTTTTTGTGTTTGCGTTTGTCCCGTTGAGATTGAGTGATGACTCTAATACAATTATTTGGCAAAATCCTCGGCGATCGTCAACACTTTATTGCCGACCAATTATATTTTCAAAAGAAACACAGGAATTTACTGTAATAGAAACAGACAAAGTTTTGAAAGAAATAACTGAACTTCTTCCAACACTGTGTACTGTTGGCGAATTTAAATTCACTGTGAAGCACAATCTGTTACTTACAATGCCAGACGGAAAAGTTTGTAATGCTTTAACCGATACGCGCTCTACACAAAAATGTTATATTTGTTGTGCTGCTCTAAAAATGATGAATGGCGAATTAAAAGGTATGGTTGATAAAAAAGAAAATTAAAATTTTGGTTTGTCTACTTTGCATGCATGGATACGTACATTTGAATGCTTGCTACACATTAGTTACCGTTTAGACATTAAAATGTGGCAAGTTAGAAGCAATGGGGATAAATGTCGTATGAGAGAACGTTCAGAAGAGATTAGACAAAAGTTTAAAAAACAAACACCCTAACCCTAACCCTGACTGTGGATAGACCGAAACCACATAATGGCAATACAAATGATAGCAACACAGCTCGCAGGTTTTTTTACGCAGGATTAAACGTCGAATTAATTAAAAAATTTAGTGTTTTACAAAGAACGCTATCTTCTGGTCATGACATTAATTGTGTCAAATTTGAAAAATTTTGTTTCGAAACAAGGACTTTATATTTACATTTATATTCGTGGTATTACATGCCGGTTACAGTCCACAAAATTTTAATGCATGGCACAGAAGTTATCAGGTCGTGTATTATTCCGATTGGACAACTTTTAGAAGAATCTCAAGAAGCACGAATAAAGATTGTAGGAGATTTCGGAAAAATCATACCAGGAAAAATTCATGCATTTCTACAAATATGGATTTGTTGAATATGCTCTTAATAACATCTGACCCTGTTATCAATTGACTTAGCTGCCTGCAATAAAAGCAAAAAATTGCCAGTAGAGGTTTTGAATTTGATTGTTCCGGCTCCAAGAATTGCAAATTGTAACTTGTTCGATGAATCAAATGATGAGTCATCTGAAGATTCAATAGATGAGTGTTTAGAGGATATAAACGACAAGTTTTCTGATAACTTATTATAAAATTTATTGTATAATATTATGTATTCTTGCTTTACAAATATATTTATTACTTCTTTTTTTATTATAACAGTGGTTGCTGCAATGAGGGGAAATAGGGGGAGTAGTAGTTAGGGGTAGGGTCCCTTATCCTCCGCAAATAAAAACGTATAATTTATTAAACTCAAGTTAATTATTCACTTAAACAACAAAATATTATTTATTTCAACCTTTCATGACAAGAAAAATCGAATTCGTGAGCAAAACATTTTTGTCCAGCTAGATTGTATGAGTCTATTCACTGTGCATTACTCAAAACAGAATAGATTTAAATTACAATCTAGTTTCAATGAACGCGCATTCTATGATATTTTTTCAAAATTTAAATATAAACTCTTTGTTTATGATAATTGTAAACTTTCTGAAAATTTTCTTTTGCATCGTATTCAGAAGCCAAGAAGAAAGAATTTCCTGATAAGGAAGATTGGAATGTAAAAAAAAATATCTTGAAATAAGCAAAAACAAACTTGTTTTAATAGAAGCTCTCTACGTTTATTAGAACCTACCGTATGGTACCGTTTATTAGAACCTACCGTGGAAAAAAAAAACACCTTTAATGAGTCAATTGTTTCAAACCTCGACAAAACACAAAAAAAAAACATTTTTAAACACACATTTTAAACAATAATTTTTTGAATAATCTCTAAATATTAATAGCCGAATGAATATTAATATTAGTGCGCATAGTTATGCATTGTTACGCCTATTGTTCGTTTTGTTTGTTGAAGTTGGTTCTAGACTTTTCTAAGCACAGTTATATATTCCATGCGGTCTTTCGAGTGAAATCAGCAAGCAAATTGGAGCTGATGCACTTATTTTCAAAAAGAATTAATTATTTTTTTAAATAAAAATTTAATTGTTAGTTTGTTGTTGCTTATTTTTATTTTTTCTAATTTTTATATTCTGTTTTTATTTTTTGGAAGAAGTTAGAACTAAAATAGTTTTTTTAGTAAAATGTTTCTTTTTTAGTAAACTGTTTCATTTTTTTCTTTTTATAACATTTTAAGCAAGTATTGTTTTATTTTTTAGAGCACTTAAGAAAAGCTTATGGTTTTTTTAGTAAGTTCAATTCGTTTTGTAATTTAGAGATAAAGATTGTTTTTTGCAAAAAGATTTATATATAAAATAAAGTTTTATATATGTATTTAATATAAAAAGTTAAATAAAATAAGACTGTTATTTGTGTTCATGTAAGCTTATACACATAAGTTTGCATTTATTTTAGTCTATTTTATACTTCTCTATATCTATACTATATGTATATTTTTTCCTAGCAAAAGTTATTCAGAATAAAAAAATAAAAAAATTTTTTCTGGAATTTGTCAAAAGAATGTTGTGTTATGCTTCATTTTAAGGTATCTAATTATGTATTTATTTTTCATTTTTTAGAAGAAGTTTGAACTAAATTGACTGGTAAAATAGTTTTATTAGTACAATGTTTCTTTTTTAAGAAAACTGTTAAATAAGTCATTTATATTTAATTTAATGTGACCATTAGAATTAAAGTCTTTAAAATAAGTTAAAATAACTTAAAATAAGTAATATAGATATAAATTACAAAGCTTTGATTCGCGCAATAAAAATTATACCTCAGACAAAACTTTTTTAGTTTTATTAATTTGGTTAACATTAGTTTTAAATTCAAACTCCGATTCGCTTGAACTGTTTTCATATTCAGTTGAAAAATGATTTTCATTCGCAATTTCTAGAACTAGAGTACAGAATACTAGTAAAAAGTTTTTATTACTAAATAGAAATATTCAGTATAAAGGAATCATTTAAAACACAAATAAAACATCATTTACAATAAATAAAAAATATACTAGATAACTAAAAATTCAAATAAAATTCATACCTTGTTTATTCAAACTGATTGGAGTGCTTCTTCCAACACTAGCCTCAAGTTTTGCTTAAGATCTTGTTAAAAAAACTTTAGCTAGTTTTATTGGCTTCTCTTGTTATTCTACAAGTTGATTTTTCTGTTCTTTTTTATCAATATTTATTGTTTTTTTTAAATCTTGTTTTACAAAGTAAAAAAAGATTTTTAATAGAAAATTAAAATAACTTATGCTTTAGGTTGACATTTCTTTAAAAAAATTATTCAAACAAATTAAAAATATATTTATACACACAGGAGTTTTGATCAATAGCTTCAAGATGTTACCCTGTTGAGAGAAGCTCTCGATGTGCTGCTGGAGCTTGATGTATTGTCTTGTTAATTGTTTCACTTTAACCAAAATGATCATATGCAAACTCATTTGGGCATCTTAAACTCCTAAACCAGCCACTAGTATAGAGAGTCGATGGCGATTATTTGTACCAGTAACTTTTGATTCATCTATCAAGTTAAGTTGCTTGATTATATTTTTTAGGCTATGCTATCCAGAGCAGTGATAAAGTGAAGATTGTGTACTTGGGAAAATGTAAATGTTATTTGCTGAAACTTCATCTAAATATCCATTTTACTCAAATTATACAAAATGAAAAATAATTATGTTGAAAAAAACATCAACTCGTTATTTCAAAAATTTTGTTTTAGATATTTTGAGACTGTGAAATAAGATTACCTGAATCAAAGACAACTAACTTTTTTCAATAGTCAGAGTCTGATGAATGAACTGGCGATGATGTAAACATTCTTAGTTCTGAATTATTATTATTAATTGTTTTAAATTGAATTACTAATAAAAATGATATGATTAATTATTCAAACAAATATTGAAGTTGTCATTATATTAAATAATTTTTTTTTTCCAAGAAAATAATAGAAAAAGTTTTATAAAATTTGAAACTTTGATGAACTAAGAAACTTAGATGTTTTGAAATTGCTGATAACAAATTATACACAATTATATCATGTTATATCAGAGTTATATTACAGTTATGCTGGTATTAATTTACCTGCTTATTATAAATGAAATAGAAAAAAAACCCACTTGTCAACTCTTACAAGAAGTGTTAAAGTCATCAAAAGAAACAGTTATAACGAGTTAACATTAATACTTTAGTTAATATTTTACATATAAATTTTATACTATGTATATCTAAGTATGTAAATTATACAGTTATATAGATATTTATTTTGTATCTATGATATACTCATAAATATATATTTATTAGTATATTATTGATATATATAAATATCTATATAACTTGGCTGAAAAATAATTAGGCAGTATAATATTAACTGCATAATAATAAAAGTAAACTGTAAATATACATCAATAATATACTAATAAATATATATTTATAAGTATATCATAGATATATAATATAGATATATATCATAGATATATAGATATATATCTATATACAGCCTTGTACTACTGTTATATTTGACTTCTAATGAGCAGTTATATGTTCTACTTTGCAATAATAATTTCTAAATAAAAGCACCCATATATTTTAAAAAGTATATAACGGAAAAATTATAAACGTAGTAAAAATTCAAAACAAAACATTGATAAAATAAGAAGAGTTTCCGGAAAAAAGTTTTCCGCGTGGTAAAGAAAATCGCTTGTAACGTGAGAAAAAATGAAATTTATCAAAACGATTTTGTATGTCTCCTAAATTTCATATATATGTTGTACTACCATTGATATTTGTCAAAATATTACTCACTATACACTATAGTCACAATAGAAAATTCAAATGAATAATTGAGAAAACAATTTAAGCTCCATAATAACATGATATATGCAGTTAAATGCCATGATTTTGAAGATATTCTGTGCGGTGGACCATACGTCGATCTTTTGAACTTGTTAACTTGTATCTTAACAAATTCAAAATATCGACGTATAATCCTTAAATGTCATATTCGAAAAAGTACTAATAAACGGCTTTTAAATACTAGTAATCTTGTATATTCATTCAAAAACTGTTAATTTTATTAAAAAATGGCAAAAAAGCTTGGAAGAAAGACTAATTTTCATAATACAATGAAAAACGTTAGGTCGACTCGATTTTGTCGACTTCCCAAGTTGACAAAATCGTTAGTGTTCCTATATCATTAGGCAGGTTACTATCTGTTGATGCAAGCAACCTTTGAAAACATCGTTCAGTTTTTTCGCTTACCAAAACAACACTTTGTCTTGGTTTAACCAAACCTTCCCTATCTTTAAGTTTCAAAAAGCTAGTTTCTTCCAAATAATTTGGAGTTATTAATGTATTCTGACATGTAATGCAGATTAGGTTTTTGGCAGTCATCTCAGCTACATATCCAGATTAATGAGATATGAGATTGCCGCTTTTTTATATTTCGAAAGATTATAAAAATTTGGTATATCTGCATAATCATGATCAATTTGCTTTGGTTCTCTTTCTTAACGAATCATATTTTTAAGCAACCCAATTTCAGTCATTGATATTTTAGTATCAGCATCATTATAAGAATCATCTAAAACACTTCAAATTTCATTTTTATTTCTAATGCTATAGTTTCCATTCCCACAACGAATCCTACTTTGCGAAAAAAGATGTTTTTAAGGAGCTGTGAATTATTGTGGATTTGGATTATTGGTAAACATTCCAGCAGATCAAACTGCACGAGAAAGAGCTCTAGATGGTCTTTACTGAGCTATATGTCAATATTTTAATTGTGAATCTTCTTTTTCCACCCAATCAAGAAAAATGCATTGTACAAATTTTGTTGCAATCAAAAATCCAATAAAACCAGTTTTAAGACTGTAAGAGATCATTTGATTACTAGTTTTATCTTTAAGACAATGAGTATAGTTATTTTCCATATCAAAAAATAAAAACCACAACGCGTAATGCTGACTTAAAGCTTTTTGCAAACGGATTTCATGAATTTATAACATCAATTAAATGATCTTTTGTTCTAATAAACTTAAGAGTAGCACAGCATTCGTCAAACTGTGGCAACTTAAGATTACTTGGGCAATACTGTAATGCATCAGCAACAATTGAACAAAAACTTTGTGATGATGTGACTTTAATTTTTTGTTGCCAAAATTCTATATGCGCTTACTTTTTTTGTCTGTTACCTAATATAAGTCGTTATTTTGATTGCAATTTTTTTAGCTCTACAAAGTATTGCCAACTAATTGTATTATTATCATTTTTCAAAATAACATCAAGTCCTGCCAGTGTATTTCTAAGCAGTTTCAGTATATGGCATACATTAAACATGCCATACAATCGAATTACTTGGATAGAGAAATCTGGGTATTAAATTACTTGATTTTAAACATGTACCAAGCTCTGAAATTATAAAAAAGACGGTTTTCATCACAAGTTAGTGAAATTACAATTAGCCAACATCAAAAAGGTTTTTTAAACAATTCCGAACCAAATTTGCTCGCTCCACACCAGTTAATTCATCTATATAAAAAGAATTGCAAGGTACTGTTCAAGTACTGTTTATCAAAACTACCCCTAGAACAAGAGCATATCTTGCTTATGGTAAAGTGTCATCATCGTCAATACCATTTTGTAAACGCAATAATATTATTAACTTTTTCTCACCCCATTTCACTTGTTTTCATATTACCATTTCATCAAGCATGAGGGAACACAACATCTGATAACCTGTTTTGTTTGAAGCGCAAACTGCAGCATGAAGTACAATAAAAGCAGGTTTTGTATATCCAGTTTCTGCTGGTACCTTGGTGTGCCAATTTCTTGTTTGGGGTTGATGAGGTAGCGCTAAATGAAATGTCTTACAAACAAACTCATAAGCTTTTAAAGAATAAAATTGCAATGTCAATGCAAATGAATGTAGTTCATCAGGATGTTTATTTCTGTATAAATGTTTCTTTTTGATGTTAAGATAGTGTTTCATAATTTGAGAGGGAATCTTGCAAAAGTTGTTTTAAAAATTTCTTCATATCCAGATGAAACTAAGTTTTTATTTTTGATATTATTGATATACTGCCTTTAATGATTTTACTTAAGATTTTAAACGACGATTTCTTTGCTTCTCATTTTGATTTTAAAATAGATATCTTTTTCTTATGTGTTTTTAAATATAGTGAAAAGTCTAATTGTCTATTAATTTCACATTGAACATCTTTATTTCAAGCAAACTAAATACAAATGGTGGTGCTTTTCTTTTTTCTAAGAAACAAATATAGCAGTTTTGATAAATGATTAAAAAATAAAGCAATAATTGTTAACTAAATAAAACTACAAATTATAAGAAAAAAAAGTTAATATTTTAATGCTTTAAATTTAAATGAACATTAAACTGATCTGTTTGATTTGTAAAAAGTTAGAATAACATCATGCTTCAAACAAATTGTTTGCCAAGTCTTTTCAAAACAGTTTTCTTCAAAATGCTGTGAAATTTTTGTAGAATTTGTAGGTTGCTCATATTTTTCTTGTCCAATTTTCTTCAACCAATTTTTTTTATTTTGTTCATTTTTTAGAAATCTTTAAATATAAATAATAACACGTGAATTTCACAAGACATAATAGTTTTAGATTTTATTCCTAATAAATTGTAATAAATTTCACCCACCTGTGAAATAAACTTCTCTTTTGATATGTGATCACTGTTTTTTGATCCAGTTTTTTTTTTTCGCATCCAAAAATGCTGTAACTAGACATAGTAATAATGTAATACAAACGCCTGAATATTCAACATTGCTGTATAACACACTGATGTCAAAATATTGTTATTTTGAGGTCAGTAGTTGTAATATAACTGTTTTTTTTAAATTTTTTTTTACTGTAATATTGATTTTATTGTCTAATTCCATTCCGTTGTTTACTGGAAAAAATTTGTTTATTTAAACGGAAGTTTCCGTTTATTTACGGAAAAGTTCCGGCAACTGCAATGACCAAACCTCCCTTTGTTTACGTAAAAAAACCATTGTATTTTTACGGGAAAAAATCCGTTTGTTAACGGAATCTTTCGTTTACATGCAATGGGTTTTTCCATAAAATAACGTGTAGTTAGGTCATCAGCAGCTGCAGGAACTTTTCCAGAAAAAACACGCAATTATTTTAACAGCCCAGACAGCTTCCCGCTAGTGGCCCAATGCTGCCCAGGTCCGCTTGCTACTACGGTGCGATGATGGCTATCGATCACAGACATCCATCGAAACAGCTATTGGGTCAGCATCGGCCCGCTAGCCATGAGCCAGCATTGGCCCGTAATCGTTCGCCAGCACTGGCCTGCGATCATTTGCCAGCACTGGCCCGGGATCATTTGCCACCACTGGCCTGCAATCGCTTACCACCATTTGCCCATTATTTATTCCGAGTAATGATCTGTGATCATTTTGCAACAGTTGTTCGTGGTCGCGTGTCAGTACTAAGACGTTACTTTTTACTAACTAAAACACAAGCACGTTATTATTGGCCGTTTCTGCACAAATGAATTATACTCCATAAATGAATCAAATAAGTACTTTTCGAGATTAATTCCAAACTATATCGAAAAAAATAAATAAGTATTTTCGAAATTTATTCCCAACCAAAAGCGTGATAAAAAATAATAAAATAAAAATTAAAATAAAAATATTAGGAGTTCAAATTGTTATTTATGCAAATAATTTTTAAACAAATAACGTTCCTCTTGAGCTTTTTGTCCACCATTTCGATCCCAAAAAAAAGCTAAAAATATGTCTTCAGTTAATGTTCAAAATCTTCTCCTGATACTCCTAAGATTAAAGCTTTTTCACAACATCTAAATAACACAAAGTTAAACTACCCAGACAGCCTCCCGCTAGCGGCCCAATGCTGGCCCAATGCAGTTCCGCTTGCGACTCCGACGCTGCATCGAAACGGCCATTGGGCCGTTCTTACCCAATAGAACTTTTTTTAAAGGCATCTAACCCAATAGAACTTTTTTTAAAGGCATTGCTTTCAAAGCAATTTCAAACCTTATTGTTAGCTCCTGACCAATTTATTTTATTTTCTACATTGGTACCAATCACCATTTGAATTAAATTCCAAACAATCCTCTTAATTGTTGAGCCACCATGGGATTTCATGCTCACCAATTTCATGCTCTAAAATTTACATGCACATTATACATGATAACCATCTTTGTCTTTAATTAATAATTTTATTTAACTTTATTGATTGTAAAATACTTATTTAATACTTAACTGTACATTCTAAATAAAAATACTTTTAAAATGTTCTGTATAAAGAAATAAGAAAACAATGAAAAAATGTATGGCTCACACTTACCAGTGCATTTATAACTTTTTTATCTGATTCGATGTCTTCATTTAATTTGAGTAAGCTTGCCTCATCATTTACTGGAATTTCAAAAGGGTTATCAACCAAAATTGCTTACCTGTTTTTATTAAGTACTCCAATAAGTTGACTTATTTAGGCATTATTTGTATCTAATTTTTTGTTCAGGTTCTCTACTGAAATAAGCAGCTCTTTTTCAACTGCTGTAAAAATATTTAATATAAAATATAAATTTTAAAATACATGAGAAAAAACAAACAAAATGAGCATTATAAAAATAACTCTCAGTACAAATTATATGCATACGACTAACCAGTGGAATGAAGTGTTCCTTCGCTCACTTCAGCGAGAATTCGTCTCACAGTTGAACATCAGCATGATGTTAACGAAGATCCTAAAAACAAGAATTAAAAAAAAAAAAATTAATTGAACAGTTTAATTCAGTTTACAAAAAGGTTAGCGTGTTGATTTTTTTTTTTTTTTGTAATTCACCTCCCCAAGGCCGGAGCAAGTGTCTTTTTTTTTTCATACATAATTTTCTTTTGTTATTTAAGTAACTCCTGAGTATCAGTTTCTGAACTTGAATAGTCATAGTTATGAACATCCGCTTTATTTCTATAAAGCGGATCTATTTGGTTTGGATTTTCTTTGAACATCCATGCTGCGAAACCGTTATACTCACCATTCATGTTTGCAGCTCCATCTGTTGAATTACCAACACACTTTAAAATATCAATGCTCAATGCCTTTAAAGTTTCAGATACTAAACTCGACAGATACTCGCCAGAGGCGCACGCAATCCTAGTTAATAATCTTTCGTGAATCTGATCAGTTACATACCTCACAACTATTGAGCACTGATTTTTAGTTGTTATATCTGCTGTTGTATCAATTTGAACTGAAAACATACCAGCTGAGTTAATTTCTTTTGCAATGATTTTCTGTATGGAACGACTCGTAATTTCAATGAGTTTTGTTATTGTGGTTTTTGAAAGAAAAGTAACCATGGAACCTCTTCCAGTACTTCCTGTGTTCTTCCGTTTTTCACTCTGTTCAATGCAACTATTTAAATGTTCCTTTAAACAAGTATCATATTTACTGGCAAGTAACACCATTTCTAGGAAATTTCCATGATCAATTGAATTATCTGACAATGTATAAGCAGCTTCAAACTCATGTCCCCTGTAACTAAGACCACGTTTTCCAATTACTTTAATAATTTATATCACCCGCAGGAGCACAAGACGTCACTTTTGAACTTGCTCTCGACGTACAGAAATTTGAGTAGAAAACAGTAAATATGAGACGTTGGATCTAGATACATGTTGGAAATAGTTTTCTGTGCATTCGTTATGCGATGCTGATTTTTCTTGTTCATCAACTCTTTGATAAATCTTTGATAAATTCCACTAACAAAAGAACTCATTACAACAGTTGGTAAAAATGCTAAACATATTGAACAATATAATGCATCGTTGCCTTCAGAGTAAGATAACCATTTACGATTCGTTCCATTTTTCCGCACAAAAGATTTCACAATAATAGGATCTCTGGTAGTTTGAATTGGATGGATTTCAAAATATTTATTGAGAAGAGTTGATGGTGGACGAGAAAACCAGTTTTTTGTTCTACAATAATTACACCTTGATCAACAACCATATCACTATCACAAACAGGATGATGGCTGACGGTTTCTGCGATGCTAATGTTTGAATCGATCTGAACTTGAATCTCATTTTGTGTACATTCTGACAAATTTTCAACTGCTACATCGTCACTATTTAATACTTCATTAGTTGCTGTAATATCTTCAGATTCGGTTCCAGTCGTTGACGTTGTGTTGTTATTGGAATTAATTTGGATCTGTACATCATTTTTACTTTTTGTTGTCACTTTTTCATCAGCTTTACTTATATCAGGATTTCTGTTGGGAATGAAATCGCTTATTTTAAGACATTTTTTAGCTGATAATTTCATCAATTTTTGGTTTTTCTCTCGTAATTTTTGAGCTCCTCCTTTTTTCCTCTTTTTCATTTTAAAAATCTATTCTTATATATAGTTTTTAAACGATATTATTTTCCTATGCTTATATTATTGATTTTCAAGATAAATTGAGATTGCGCGGGGTTTTCATCTTCTTACAATTTTGATTGGTTAGCATAATTCGAAATTGGTATATATATATGAATATTGGTATATGTATATATATGTATTTTGGTATATATATATATATATATATATATATATATATATATATATATATATATATATATATATATATATATATATATATATATATATATGTGTGTGTGTGTGTGTGTGTGTGTGTGTGTGTTGGTGTATATAATATATACATATATATATTATATAATGTGTGTATATATTATTATATAATGTGTGTATATGTAATGCTATGTTTGTATATGTGTTGTAGGCAGGTCCGTTTTTAGGGGTTGAAAAAAGTAAAACTTTGCCAATTTATTTTTCCATTCTATGTTGCCATAAAAGACTTTTCCGTAAAAAATATTTGAAAAATTTTAAATTCTCTGTCCTCCCTAGGAGTTTTTATATTTATTACATTTTTAGAGAATTTTTTTTTTTTTAGTTTGCACCGCCGGACCTATGCGGAGTTATAATCACAGCGCGCAATAATAAATTTTATGAAACTGCGCTGCGTTTGTAACTTTTTAAATTTAAAATGGCAATATCAACACGTTCAAATACTGAAATATTTTTATTAGAAAAAACCCACGAAATTGGTTGCAGAACTTTGCCTACAAAAGGCGAAGTTATAAGATATTTTTATCACTGCTGCAGATTACTGAATTTCAAAAAAAAAAAATCACACCGAAATTATTTCCTGCCCTATAGATATAAATCACGAGCTACTATGTAATGATAAAATATGTCAGCCCAAATGTGTTGTTTCTGCTCTTAGAAAACCGTGGCTTATGGGTGGTATACCACACATTAGTTGCAGAAGTATTAGGTAACTTTTGATTTAAATAATGTTTATAGTTTATTACGTAATTATTGATAATTTTTAATATGAAAATTTAAGCTGATAAATGACAAACTAAAATTTATTAAATTATTTCAGGGAAAATGTTTCCAAATTAATACATCATCACAAGAAACTAGTATCATATCGTTCAAAAAAAAACGGAAACACAAAAGCTGCATGAAAATAATATCAAAAGATGCAAAAGAATGCGATATTTTATTTTATGAAGATCAAAAAACTGCAAGAACGATGATAATTGACAAAATAGACAAAAAATATCAAAAAGTTTATTCCAACAGAGAATTTTGCAAAAGGAAACTCAAGGAGTTCGTGCAAAAGGAGGAATCTGCCACAAAAATCTCAAAGTTTTTATCAAATAGTAATTGTATTAATGAAAATCAAATTTATTTTTGTAAGAAAATTTTGATAATGAAGAATTTCAATATAATAACTATGATGAAATTGAACAATAATCAACTAACATAAAACGAAATAAAGTGACAGTAACAGTAGATATTGATGAACTTATTAAAAAAAACTTCAACAATTTTGTGGTCATTTTGGAATTTCTGTTGGAGTACAGACAGGATTATTAGCATTATTTTTAAGATGAGGAAATATCAATCTTAATAAAATAAAACTTTCAAAGACAAAAGTAGAAAAAATAAGAAAAGATTTGTATGTATATGAATTAGAGTTAATTAAGGAAAAAATAAAATAAAAATGTAAAAATAGTAATTTAATTTTGCACATTGATACCAAAAAAGTTACAACTTTAAATGAAGACTATATTTCTGAAGTAAGCAAACGTCTAGCTATTGTTGTTACAAGTCCAGACTGGGATTTAAATAAAAATGGAAAACAACAGGATGAGCTGCTAGGCATAGTTGAATGTCAATCGGGGAAAGGATATGATCAAGCATTGGCATGTTTTAATGTTATCGAAAAGTTTGGAATTGAAAGCATTATAATTGTGATTTGTGCTGACACAGCAGCATGTAACACTGGTTGTAATAAAGGTTGAATAAGTATTTTAGAAGAACTTTTAAATTGACCTCTGTTAAGACTTCTTTGTAGAAAACATTCCCAAGAAAGACATATTTTACATGCAATAAATGCAATCACTGCAAAACAGAAAGCAAAGGTCCATCAAAATCTATTTATACGAGATTCAAAGCTGCTTGGCCAATGCATTATGAAAATGTTCCAAATAATATGGATCAGTTATCAAAGTTTCCGTGGTACGAATTTAGTGGAACCCCATTAGAAGATATGGGTAAAAAAAGTTTATATTTTTGCAAAAAAGCTTTGGAGCTTAATACTTTTTTCAGAAATGATTATAAACATCTGTGTCAATATGTCATTGTTTTTCTGGAAGGAAGGGAGGCAGATCCTGAATTTTTTATACACAAACCAGCTGCTGAACATGAAGTTAGAATTATGACAGACGCTTTATACTTCAATAACGTCAAATTGTTTCTGCTGCTCATAATGATTTGTGTACAGTTAAAGTGATGATAAAAATGAAAGATTTTGATGCTGATGTTTCTCAAGCCTTTATTTCAAGCTATCTTAGACACAGTTATTATCTTTCTGAAGAAACGGTTGTCTTTTTTTTATTTGATAATTGTCTTGACAACAAAATTAAAGAAAAAGTTGCTCAGCAATTGTTAAAAACAAATTTACCTGAAATCTTTAAGCTTAAAAAGTTTAAGCCTGCAGAAATAAATGAACATTCAGAACTTAATAATTACGTTGGTCGAAATTCTTGGCTAATTTTTAAAATAGTTCCTTACTTATAAAAGTGGTTGGAAAGCCCACCTGATTTGTGGACTTATGATTCTGATTATGAAAATATGCAAAGGTTTATAAAAAGATTTGTCTGTGTCAATGACTATTGCGAAAGAGCTATTAAATTGGTAAAAGACTTTATCGATTCAACAATTAAAGAGGAAAAGTTACAAAATATTTTACTGGTTTTAAAGGAACACAGAGTTAATTTTCCATTTTATAAATGTAACTGGTCCAAAGAAATACTTAATAAATTGTAAGAAAAGTTTAACTTTTTATAAGAAAAATTCAACTGAATTTTTTATGTATATTATTTACAAAACGTATTTGTAAAACCTTTAGTCAAAGTCTCATACATTTTTAACAACTTTTATTTTTTATCTTTATTAAGTACATTGTTTGGATTCCTTATAAAACAAACTTTTTGAATGCAAGTTTTATTGAGTTTTTTAATCAATATTTAAGAGTATTTAGATAAATATACAATTAAAAACATAGTAAAAACCAGGTCTTTAAAAGAAACCGGGTTATATTTCAAAATGTGTTATCTCGAGAAATTTTTAATATTTTGAGCTCAAATTTAGTACCAACCTTCCTTA